CCACCCCAGCCTTTTTTCCTTTTTCTGTTTTGTTGGTCTCAATTTTTGATGATTTGACTGCTTCTTAATCAGCTAATAGAACCTGATTTGCAAATATTGCTAACATCTGCTCAATATTCCAACTGGTTATATAAACCGGAAATTACATGCTGCTATTGAAGAAATAAATAAAATTGCCTTAAGTCTTTGTACTAAAGTCCTTCCTGGAATGAACACGTTGCAAAACTATTTGTAAATCATCCATCTCACTGCTCATAATTACTTTTTAATGGCATATTTTGAAAGGAGCATCCTTTTTTACACTCTACATCCCCCTTTTTTCACTGTCTTGTCTTATTTTGTGTTTTAAAAAGGACAAGCTTAATTGCTTCACGTATATTTAATAGATACTAAAAGTTCTTAGTGTGATTCCTAGAAAATGGCAAGGCTGCTTTTGTATACTTTTACATGATCTAAACATTTAAAGATGATAATTGCTACTTTAAAAATTAGAATATAAAAGAAATCTTGCCTTTTCGGTATCATCTCTCTGGGTAAATATTTAGTTATGGACTCAAAACTTTTATTTAAAAATAACTCAATTTTAATATTATTAGTGGCAGTGATGTAAAATGTAGACCTTTCCTATAAACAAGAGCTGGGCACATCAGTCCAAATCCAATCAAGCAATAGTATCGATACCAATGCTGGTGGTTTTGGATTGATACTAGCATGATAGGATCGATATTTTGTTTCTATCCTGTCAGTTGGGTATGTAGCCCACTGTGTTGTGGTAATTGGGTTGTTTTTTTTTTTGCCAGTACGGGGTTATGAAAAATAATTGTGGAAAGAAAATTTGAAAAGTAAAACTGTCAGTGATTTAGTGGTCATTACAATGTGTTCAGAATTTGCAAATTGATGATTCATCTCATGACACACTACTATCCTACATAAGCCAGCTTCATAGGTTAACGGTATTGGTAATGGAAAATTGGCGCTCTGTTTACTTGGTATCAGATCCATACCAAAATTTGCACAGCAGATTTTTGCAAAGTTTTTGTTTAAACTACTAGAACTATTAAATTATTTACGCAGTTTAAAAAAACAAACAAACAAACTCAGTCGACCAGTTCAGATGTCTCCTTTACATGATATAAAATTGCTGAGTAACTACCACCCGACCAGAACGAAGACTGTCTGCGATGGGGTTGCTTTATCTACTGTCACAGCTTCTACACCCACCCAGCCTTCTTCTAAACACCTGAAAAAGCAGGGATTTAGGGCTTGTGGAACATCCAAGCAGGACAGGGTGACTTTTTCATTCAGGAAAATGCTCTGCATGAAAGATCACCAAGAACTTGATTTGGTACATCAGGGACCTTTAAGTTGTAAATTCAATTGACGTTCAAGTAGTCTCCCTCTGTGCCACCGTCAGCCCTGTGTACAATGAGGACACGCTTACACTGGCAGGAAAATGAAGATGGCCGTCTTGAGAGGGTCTCCATAACCTTAACCCAGACACGTGTGACTGAGTACAATAAAAACATAGTAGGTGTGGCCTCATTTGACCAGATACTGGGAACAAATTCAGTCCATTGCAAAGGCCGAAGTTTTAACGTAACGGTTTTCCAGCATCTTCTGGAGAGTGCAGTGACAGCTTCATCCTTCACAAAGATGTATTAATCCATTATCTACTTGCAGCATACAGTAAAGCAAACAAGTAGTAGTCCTGAAAAAAGCACATACATACAGCAGATTTTATGACATTTTTACAACAAACAAAAAGTTCCAGATGGCCTCCCTAACATTATAGGGTTCTCCTCTATTTCAGACCAGCAGGTGACAAATTTGGGCCTCTTTAACCCCACACGTTGTAGTCCCACGAGTATAAACAGTTTTAGCACTGGATGCTTTACTGGCTGAAGTTTTTGACCCAGTTTTAGTTGCTAATAGTGGCCAGTAGAGAGCAATATGACTTAACTTAACCATGAAGAGTCTGCAGAGTAAAATGATATGCCTGTAATTCCATAAACCATCAATTAATTTGCAGAAAAACGATACAAAGTGTTGCATAAAAAAAACACCATAATGCAGGAAATGAAGTGTCTGACGTTCATAATTTTCCGAAGGAGGACCCCTCCACCCCCAGACCCCTGTTTAATGACATCCAATCTGATGGTGTAGCTTGATATATATATATAAAAATAATAATGAATTAATAAGGATCACTAAGGCTAGTGAGTCATCCTTGGGGATGAACAGGACAAAAATCATGGCATCTATGCAGTAGATATTTTTAGTCTGCACACAAAATCACCCAACAGACTGCTCTCCCTTATGGCTTTTATAAGATCTTTTTTTTTTTTTAAATTATCATTAAAGATTTGTGAGACTTATTCAGTGGAGCGAAGATGTCTTCCTGCCTTGTGACTACACGTCCACAGGTTGCAAAAGAAACCTGGGCTTTGGTTATTTACTTGCAGTTCCACCACTTTTCAATGCACTGATGACATTTTTAGCTGTTTAAATAGATTCAGAAATAACTAAAAGGCACTACAGGATGTTAGCACCTATTTCATGGACACAGGCTAAAGAATTAAGAGGCATAACTGTTTTATTTAAATAAATTCACGGTAGGTTATTAAATAAATTTCACCTCATTCGCCTAATACGCTAAATGTTGTTTGTGTTTTTTGCTGTACTTGATTTAGGATCGGGCAGCTCGTTGCATGTAAGCCTCACTGTAAGGAATTCAAGCAAATAGACAAAACACTGAAACCTGCAAAAACACGTCTTTAAAAGGGTGAAGAAAGCCATCATTTGTGTGTCACCAAACGTCAAAGGGTGATCCCTCTACTTAAAAACCCTCCAGCTAATAATTATACAGGTTGATGCAAATCCAAATGTCTGCATGGCCCCTTCGCCGTCACAAAAGG